ATTATTATTATTATTATTATTATTATTATTATTATTATTATTATTATTATTATTATTATTATTATTATTATTATTATTATTATTATTATTATTATTATTATTGTTCATATCAAAAGAGGAGAAACAAGATAAATAGAATTTAAGGAGATGATGGTAAAAGGTGAAGAAAATAAAGAAAGAATAGAAAACAAAGAGGCAAGTAACACTGATGCGTGAAGAGAGGGGGAACAAATTCCCATCAACATGAGTAAAACATTGATTGAACTATATTAGGAATGAAAATAAAAGTAAAAAAAAAAAATGGAATAGAAAATAATAGAGACGGGAAGAAAATAGTAGAAGCAACTGGAAGAGGTATTCTCAAATGTAAAAATGTTTAATATTTCTTCTTTCTTTAGAAGACCAAACGCACACACACACACACACACACACAAAGAAAAATACAACAATAATCTTAAAAAGTTTAATCAAAACAACTGGGATTCTTCTTGATTAATGAAAGTGGCTTTAAGAATCTGTTGGACTCCTGGCAGGGACCAATGCAGACATGTTCCTGTTTTTAGTTTTCTACATTCACCTTAGAATCTAGCTGTTTTTTTTGTTTGTTTTTTTTTGTTACCTTTTCCTTTTAGCCATCCAATTTGTAAAAAAAAAAAAAAAAAAAAAAAAAAATCTGTATTATGACTTTTTATAACTGTTTATTGTTGTTGCTGTTGTCCTTTGTTGTCATCACTCTTTGTTGAAATCAGGTCTCTCTTGTAAATGAGTCCTCGAGGCTCAATGGGATTTACCTGTCTAAATAAATGTTGATTGATTGATTGAAAACCTTTTGCTCGAAACCATGCACCTCTCATTTTGACTTAAAAAAGCTCTTGAGACGTGAAGTAAAAAGTCTTCAAGAGTAAAAAATAGTCCATTTGGTTTTGATTGAAGGTGGAAGGACAGTGAATCTTCACTGGCATTTATTATTATTCATTCAATCTTTACTTATCCAGGTTAGTCCCATTGAGCCTATTATTTTACTATAGGTTTCAACCTATAAAAATAAATAAATAAATAAATAAATAAATAAGCCAAGCATTTGCTCATCACTCACTGATGTAGTGAACCTGATCTGACCCTGATCTGACCCTGATGACCTCAAATCTATCAGATGGACAGAGACTGTTATTTTCATTGATCTGAATACAGTCTGAGCCATCTGGTGACTTTCTTTCTTGAATTAACCAAGCAGAAAAGACAATTTTTATAATCATTACTGTTTTACAAATGTTTGATAATCAAATTGTGTTAGTTCCATTCAATGCTTACAGGTTGAAAAGAACTACTCATTTTTATTTTACATAAACAGTAAGTAATGATTTTTATTCCTCATTCAAAGAAGAAATCAGGTTAATATGCATTTCTTGATTCTCTGTCTGAAATGAGCCAAGTAATGTAAGTATGTGAAAGGTCGAGTCTTGGTCAACTAAAATGTTTACTGAGAAGAAATGTCATGTTTTACTATTTGAGAAGATACAACAGCGTGAGACTCCACGAAGTCTGGTCGTCTGCAATAATCTTTTCTGTATGTTGAAAACAATCCTTGACTTATGATAACATCTTACATCACAAACCACACCTCTATTTCTGGTACATCCACGAATCAGAAAGCTCTAAATTGAACCGGAAGTCGACCCATTTAAAATGTGGCAACTTCCCCAGTTCATGTTAGAATGGAAGAGAATTCAGGAGAATTCATGAGAGAGTCTGAGAGTCTGAGAGTCTGAGAGACTTAGACAATGAAGAGTTGCTGAGAGTAAAAGAGTGCAGTCGGTTCCTAAGAAGGAAAAGATTTGCTGGAGTTGAAGAATGAAAGGAGTTCAGAGTTCTTGGATGCAGAACGCGTTCAGGATGATCCAGAGACGTTTTGGAATTATAATTTCTGTTTGAACGACCCACGCACGACTCTCGAAGGATTTTAGCTGTTCTCAACGGAGACGCTGAAAAGAGTCTGAAGGATTCTTACTGAGCCGATTATCGTCGACCAGGTAAAGGTTTCTTCTTCGACCAAGTGTACCGTGGGCAAGCTGAGATCTGATGGAGCGTGCAATTTCTGGTCAACAGATATTAATTTCCTCACATATTTCCCTGTAAGATAAATCTCCATTTCATCTTAAACTCTCCTCTTTCTCATAAAATCAGTACAGATATTTTAGAAATATCTGAAGCAAAGTCCTCAAATCACCGCCGAGTGATTTGAAGTTCATTATTTGTGAAACTTGTCTGTTATTATTTTCATATTTTGCCAAATTAATGTAAATGTTTGATGTTAAACTTTGATTCTGAAAATAAATGGCCGCATTCATTTTGATGGGTCAAAGATAAATAACGTCTCTCGTTACATTTTTGTTAAAATTCAATGCACGACTTACACAGTCAGAAAGATGAGGAACTCGTGAAAAAGTATGCATATATCTCATATATTTGTCATACTACACTGACATTCATGCAAGCGTTTA